CCTATGTGTTAAACACATTCTTGGAAACTGTTCACTATTTCAGTTTGTGATACTTATTGACCACGGAGTTCATGTCATTTGCTGTCTTCCATTTAATCGTAGTGTTTCAGCAGAGAATGAAAAAACCAGTTCTTGAAGGATTTATAGTGAGAGTAATCTTCTAAGGTGATTGAACGAATCTTTCTTCTCTGAAGTCTAAATGAGTGTCTCGCGACACCGACGTGGTGATAGATCCTCATCGAAAAATAGCTTCTATCAGCCCGGTTTTTTTTTGGGCGACTCGCCGATAACGTCTTATGGTGTACGATTGTATTTTAGCTGCAGGGAACGCTTGATGTTGTTTATGCTCCTTGAAATTTGGTTGATTCCAAAGAAATAGTGAAGCGCTAATGTACTTATCATTTGGTCTTTAAAGATGTGTCGCGTCGCGACAGTGGTATAGATGACGATGAGGTCTCTCCATAACGTTTTCTGATAAACAGGCACAAACCAACTGTGTGATTTTACGTAAGAGGTTGACATGAATAGTAAGTGTTCTAGACAGATCATCAGCTGATATACAACGAATGTTTTTTAATTTTTTTTCTGGTTTGTATGCAGTAATTACGGCACCGATGTTCTCAAAAAATGCAAAGATGCGAGACTTTGAGAGAGCGAACTGCTTTCTTTCGTTTCGTTGACACCAGTGCACATGCGGTGGCCACAAGGACATGCGCTATAGAAGAGATATTTTCGGTTTGGTTTCTTGATCTCATAACTTAGCGACAATTCATAGAAATTTCAACAATAACGCCGTTATGATGTGTTTATGGGCAGAAATGTGTCAAACATGCTTCGATACAGAGTGGCGACAAACAAAGTGATTTCCTGGGCCACATGAAGGAATGAAAAATGTCTTTAAATTATGAGCAGCTACAAAGTTAACTGTTAAGCAAATTGATCTCCTATGTCGTTGGAGAATAGAGATAGAATAAACTCGCACTAACGACATTTGCTGACAAAGTACGTTATTGGATCAATATTTTGTTCATAAAATATCACTTTATCCAACCTTGATAACAATGCTATTAAAGTATTTGTTATAAGGTTTACGTTAAAAAGTTAGTATCGTGTTAAATAAAAACTGAATAACGTAACCAGTGGCATGAGGTAACAGGACGTGTAAAGGATTTGAGCACACGTAGCGCTGTGGTCAGACTCTGCATAAACGGTCGTTGCTTCGATCCTGAGCTGTAAGCTAACCTAGTTGCCACAACCATCCGTGCGGATTAGTTATTTCCAGACTACTGTCAGAGGATAGAAACATTGGCTTGATGCATTTTGCTCCCACAAGTCATTGTTTTGGCCAGATCCATTCAGTTCCCTCTACGTTGCTAGTCGGATTCGCGACGTATTCCAACGCAGAAAAAGCTATCATTTAATAAGGAGGATGGAAATTATCATACAGAATTCTGAATTCGGTTGCTGGTTTTTTTCATATAATTTCTTTCGGTCTCTGTCTTTTTAAATATTCATCTTTTTACGTTGACTATAAGGGTACGTGTGGCACAGTAGTCAGAGGCACCCTGCAACACACACATTGGACCCGCTCCTGTGGTCCACCAAGCCTTCCATCTATCCGGGGTCGACAAATTGGTGCCAGACTTGTCTGGAAGGATAGCAGCACTAGCTCTATACATCGGCGGGCCACCGTGAGTCGTTGTAAAGGCCAGATATGGATTCAATCATCTCCAAACGATGCTTAATTCAAATATTACTTTTCTTTTCAAATCTGCTCTGCTCATATCTCGTCCGTTTCACCGTTAAATTCTGCCGCGCTTGTTAGTGAGCAGCGAAGATACACTTAAATTCAACTTACCTTGAAGAAAAAAAGGATTTAATTGGAGTTTTTATTTAAACGTATCCTATTCCTTGCCGCAGCCGTCACTTATAGATTTGATCCGCGGGTATCTGCAGGTTCTGTGCGATAAATCGGTAAACAAAGTAGAAATAGAAGAATCAGAAAAATAAGACATTGTACCGCAGTTTTGCTTCAAATCTATTGTGAATGTTCCTATTCGAAGCAAGGATGCCAACGATTTTAATACATTAGTGAGTTTTAAGTCGTATTTTGCGCACCCATGTGCAGTGCTATCACAACAACGGCCTTCCTTCCACTAGGCTATAAGCGTTGTTCTTCTTTCAAACAGTCTTTACCAGATTGATTCTCGTTGACAAGAAGACTTAAAAGGAAGTAAAATGAGCAGATAAATGAATTTGTAACATCAGAAGAAAATTGGTGAACATCTGAATTTTAGGCCAATGACGCATTTCTAGGGGCAAAATTTCGTGTAATCGTACAAAATTATTCGAAATAATGGCATTGAGCAAAAGAACTAACTTCTCATTTTACCATAATGAATGCGGATCGAATTCGATGATTTTGCCAAACAGAAAGCAGTTTCATGTATCCATCCAAGAAATCCAAGAAATTCCCCGGAACACTAACATCACAGAGAAAACATAAAAGTGAACTGCTCAGTCGATTTTTGGAATCTGTGTTAAAATAAAATAGACACATATTTGAGAAAACACTTCAGTCAACTATTTCGTTCCCGAAAATTATACGCCTACTCATACAATTAACCTGTGTTTCTAATAAATAGCTTCCACTCTGAATTTCATATGAGTTTTGCTACGTGTTCGAATCGAACTGTTTCGCAGAAGCTTTTACGACTTCTCCTACATATTTAGTTTACGAAGATAGTAGTATTGTTCACATTACAGTTTCCGTAACTGTAAGAAGCATGACACTTAACACTTGAATGGCCCGTCCTCTCTGGTTGTCCGTGCTCCAGCACAATCTCCATTTTTCGGAGATTTGCTTGTTAAGCCATTGTGGTTCCCTGAATCCCGAGATCAGCCTGGCCAAAGTCTGTCCCAGGTCGTCACCACAACATGCAGTCCAGTCCTTGTGGATTAGAGGGAGATTTACCACCATTCGACTTTGATACCAGGAAAAACCGGTGAATCCTGGTATTGGTCTACTCTTAGCTAGGTATCTTAATGGAAACGCCGGACTACTTTTCAAGTTGGGAGACCCCCCCCCCCCCACCACCCACGTGGTTGAATCTGCCGCTGTACATCCCAGTGCAACAGCCAGGAATACGTCCTAGCCACGATGAGGCGGTAAACCGTTGGGAGGATTGTAAGAAAATGCTTGAAATTCAGGAGTATTATAAGCGAAAACGGAGGGACATGAAATGATTGAAAACGGTTGTTTTTACCCACGTTAACTAAATTATGGACTTTTTAAGAAAAAACCTGAAATATAATTCTTGCGCATGGCGCATATTCAGTAGGCGTCAAGTATATGGAACAGAAATGACCTCCCATGTATTTCGGGGTCGCCACAGGTGGCCCCACACACATCACATACCTAGCGATGATGAATGGAAAATGTCACAAATACTCGCATAGCGACGAAGTTGTTTCGTCTTGAAGTCGAGTGACTCCTCCATGAATAGTTTCCCAACATGTTGTTCTCTAAAATATTTTCCACTTTTATTAATTAATAGCTCACGTGCATTTCACTACTCGTCAAAACGTCACTGTTCAGACACTGACTAGACTTTTAGAACTGTAAACTTTTTTGTTTTGAAGAAAACACTGCCTCGTCCTTGATAGTACTGAGTTTGAGTGATGAGGTCTAAGCCTTCAATGTTTTGATGTGAGTAAAATGGTTTATTAGTAGTGACGGAATGATGCATAGAGTAATGAGGGTGTTACACATGCATGTAGGAATCATGTAGGAAAGGAATAAACTAGAAATCATTCATTTAACGAATGTATAATTGAAATCGTAAGTGGACCACCAAGTATAATGTCACGGACAAGTCATACACTCATAGAACAGTGAAGAAAAAAAAACAGTTTGTGAATGGAAACTGCTTAGTTTCGTGCATACTTTTTTTCCACCCACTGCGCTGATCCTAGCACTTCTTGCACTCCATTCGTTTTTTTGTACCCGCCGTCCACGAAGGTCTTCGAACTTCGAACTCTTCAAGCGTTGCTTCGGCTGCTGTTTGAGGATTTCCATTCTGCCATGAATGTTGTCGATTTCTGGTCGGGTTGATTTTTTTTGGAGCCCTGAGATAACAGGGCTAGACCATTCCCACATGAACTGCAAGTAGTGGACTTTTCTCAGACAAATCCGGTACGAATTTTCTAACTATAGAGATGTGAGAAGCCTGATGAGCTCGGAGCTGGGTCGGACGGGGCCGTGCTCCAAATAATCAACATTTCTACCTAGACGCTACCTGCCCTCCATGCTCATTTGTGGATTTAACAGATTATAAAAAAAAACTCTGGGAAAGTTAACCTGATACATAAACAGACTAAAGGTACTATTAATTTGATTCTGCTCTAGAAAGAAGGTGCATCTTCAACGTTTTGCTTAACAATGACTCTGAAGTACTTGTTTTAGAAACATCGCGTGAGATTTACCTAACAGTTCAGCTATCAAAGGCATTTCTATGCTGGAAGTAAGATCAAGAACTGGAAGCGTAATATTGAAGAATAGTCAAGATAACATAGTAAGGAATAGCTTTGTCAGCACCGTCGTGATTATGAACATTGATAGACTATTAGAATAGTTCAGCGGTACAAGCTGAATTTATAGCTGACAAAAAGCAGGAAAGTTCAAAGAGGAAAAGATGAGTATGTTGACCAACTTGGTGAAAATTTCAGGAAATTTTCCCATACAGTGAACAATTTTTAAGAAAAATGTGAAAGCGTTGACCTACTGGAGGTTCAATATTGAAAAGGTGCATCGATCTTCATAACACAAAGGTAAAAAATACTGCATAGCGTGGACGATTTCGAAATCAGTCATGTGTTCCCCAACTTGTAACTTTCCGTCTCTCTCCCTCTCTCTATCTCCATGTTTTGCGCTATTCCAGGCGTCCTTTATGACAGAATATCCTTTCTTTTGTGGGTCTAAATTTGGCAGCATCACCCGAATGTGCCAATCTTCAAAGTTGCGAAGTGGGCGTGGTTAGTTTATTCGGCCAATTGTCGAAAAGGGTGGGACTTACAGTGAATATAAGCGTTGTGTTACGCTCCACTATTACGCAGCCTTCTGCTCGCTTATGAGAGTAGGCCTCCAGCTACTCTACCTTATACACGATTATGATTCGTTCTCTTTGTCTTTTTGCCCTCGTCCTAGGATGCCAAATTGAAGGTAGGCCTGAGCACTAACTTCTAACCAATGGAAATCCTCTGAGCTCACATTTCTGAGCTAGTTTTGTTACAGCACCCATTGGCGTAGTAACAGTTCACAGATATCCGATTTTATTGCTGTTGTTGTTAACATCTGAGATAATACTGAGTGCACCAGACAGAGTTAACTCAATGTTCTTTACTACATAATTTTACCGCATTTGATTTCAGCATTCCATCATCGTATTCGACGTGAAGACAGAATCGAGAGTTATTGTCAAAAGCATCTTGGACACTATCGGAACTTTTGCTTGGAGAGCTCAGAAGATATCGATCGCTCGGCTAGGGCGAAGTTGGCCAAATTCTGCCCAGCATATGAGCATCACTGCTCAGTATCGAAAGCCGATGACGAAGATATAGAAACTGAGGTATTGAGCAATCTCGTCTTACCTCCACCTCTACCTAAAGCTAGCGACTTCGTCGCTCTGGATTTGCCAATAGATACACCATCGAAGACAATTCCTTCATTAGATGCCCTTCAGTCGAGGAGCCGCCTGACTGCTGCGATCATCGCTAGCTGTACACCCGATTGCACTGCAATACATTGCACTAAGGAATGCAAGTGCGCAAATACTCATCCCAAAGTGCATGCCATGTGTAATCCACCAGCTAACGCAAAACTTGCTGATATTTGTCAAAAATGGTACGAAACATGCCCAATGTTCCAGCCAGTTCAGTTCTAACAATAATGCAGCTTCTACGAAGAAAGCAAATGTGCGCTAAATGAGGGCAGTTGGTGTAACTATATTAAAGCAGGCATTAGTTGTGTGAGAATGATTTCTAACAGAGTGATGTCCATCTTCATGCCTTTGACCATGTTTATTAATGTTGCAACCGTTAACTACTGTATGAGTTTTATTCAAGGCGAAGAGTTGGTTGAGTATCGCATTGCAGTGCTTCGATGAGCTTTTCTGTGTTGTGTTCAGTCTCACCAGTTTTCCAGTTGTAATACACTTTGAAAACGTGCTCAAGTACGGATAATGCTCTGCTGAATAATGGTTAATTAAACTCTGCTGAAAATACCTCCCTAAATGTTTAGTAAGTGATGCAAATGAGAGTAGTGAACGAAAATTTACGTAATAGAATCGAAGCACTTGTTGTATTGATGTCCTTTCATGAATGCATATACCAGTGTGTAATCAAACATATACTATAAGAATAAACATGCATTAAATGGTTTTTGTATTGTCCAAAAGGCACGTAGAGCCAAGCCATTAAAAAAGTGTTACCGCTGATCAATCTTTAAATACTATAGTCTCTGCTAGTGAACATATGAGGCAAGGACCTGTAAGCCCACAGAAAACATACACGGCTAAATTTATGCCTAACAAAAGCACAAAGGACACTTAATAGTCTGCTGTTGGCAAAAGATACATAGAATTCAACCTTAGCTAAAAACAAAAGCCAACACTTTCACATAAGAGCGATCAACCAGACCAGAAGTAAAGTCGGATATAAATACGTGCATAACACTATTGAGACCAGCTGTTTTTCGTTGTAACTTCTTCCACAACAACAATTATTGCGGTCCATTCCAAAGAAACTGTCTTTGTGGAGCATCGTTTTATCTTGGAGAGGAAAATTTTCTAGTTGCTGGGAAAAGATCAATGTACATCCCATGTAAAAAATTGTTCGGCAAGAATTTCGATATATACATTCAAACACGGTAACATGACAAAATGGTACCGAAAGCCAAGTAACAAGGATTCATTTCCTCTCTTCCCATCCTTAACACACAAAGAGGGTGCTTGTAAGCCGAACGAATGCTGTCAACGTCGTTAACGCATGTAGAAAGAATGACTTTTGACTACAACAAACAGCAGGTAGATTGGTTGAAAGTTAGTAATGTCTTTTTGACTTATTCTTACTCTACAACATTGTATTGCTGGTCATCCATTAACGAGAAACCTTGCATTCCGACAAACGAAGTGTGAATAACCGAGCGTGCGTGTTAAGAAGTCGGGCAATAGCAGGTAATGTGGTGCTTTCCGAACCAAATATTCTACGGCCCTTCACAAACGGTAGTGAATATCACACTTCGGACAGCAGAACCCGTGATATGAAATATTCATTCCTTCTTATTTGACATGTTCGGAATAGGATTGGCCGACTAGGTGATAGAAGCGGAAAACTATCAATTTTTTTCGTTGTCTTTCTGGAAAGAGCGAGTATCTTCACATGGTCATCAGAGAGTGGTTATCATGAGCACATAATTCGTAAGATGTCATTGAGCATAACACAATATCTCCATCCTTTTGCAATTCAGTTGTAAGGACGAAAGAAAGTTGGTGGTTGTGTGCGGCTCTTACGACTGCACGTTCACTTACCAGATCTGAGTTATCTGTAGACAGGTGTACTACAAATTTTTACATTCTAGGCTTTTTAGCAGTGTGATTAAGTGTTGAACAATCAGTTTGGATTCCTCGTCGATGGTCTGATGAAACATACTTCTTCAAAGTCTACCTAAAGACACGAATAAGCCACTATTTAAGCGGTTTTTGGTTTTCATTCCTTGAATTTTGTGGCTTTCTAGTCTAAGCATATGAAAGCCCATGAAAAAAAAAACAGTCATTCACGAGCAATGCACTGAATGGTTTCTACACAGTTCCTTCCGAGAAAAACGACATCGTTTTAGCAAAATCTTTGGTATGCAATGGAGTGGAAAATTTCGTCGTAATGCTTTCCTCTGAATATTATCACTGCTATCACTAGCCGAGATATTTGCAGAACTTATACCGCCCACCTAATTTATGCGATTACCTTTCCGGAGGTTCGCGTGTTGCCCACACCACTGTTGCACCACTGAAACATTTGCTTTGCCTTTCTCTCAACCAGATTTCTATCTAACAGTGCTATCAGCAATAATCCTTCAAGGGATTGATATGGAGGGCACAAATTTGTGTTAAACCCATTTAATCCGAGGCTGTAATCAAAATCACAATGTTAACTCATTGTTTGCTGCCTATTACTATTTTTGAAGGCAGGGCATCACCTATCACCTGTTTCCCCGTTGACGGTTGACTGGCTAGAGGGAAGCGTCATTAAATCTCCTACCTCTCCTCGTCCCAGGAATCTCTCTTATATGAGCGATCTCGAGCCGGTTATTCTCGAAGCTAAGTGGCGCGTCTCCAGGTGACGGATAGGATGGTAATCGCACCAAAAGCGACCTTTCCTTCCTTGAGCCGCAGGTGGATCCAGGGGATAGACTCCCTGTTTCTGCTGGGCCAATTTGGCACATACTTTTGTATTTCTTAGGCGCATTCATGCATGCGTGTGTGGGTGTGTTCTCGCTTATCCGGATTGTATTCTACGAGTCAATTCGGCCAAGAGCCATCAATCAAATGACACGGAAGTATACGGGAGACGGTTAAGAGTCGCCTCCAACAAATAAGCTCCATGTCCACTCTGGGAGAGCCTGGAAAGCTACCCGTGGGCATACCCAGCCATCACGTTTAGAGCCCAGCAAGCTATACGTGGGTATCAAAATGCTAAACACAGTTAAAAAACGGGCCTTATTCCCCTGACCCCGAAAGAGCCCCCAATTTCACAGCGTTGAGTAGAACGAGCAAGGAGAGGCTGCTAAAATCTCAGGGTCAATGAAAGATGACTGGATCACGATAAACTATGGTGACGATCTGTACCTACAATGCACGACCACTTGTATGCAAGTCCTCGATAGAAGACTTACTCATGCAAGTAAGAAGGGTAAGGTATGACGTCATCGGCCTGGCCGAGACGAAGTGAGGCCACCTATTCAACGGCGTCTATGACAACGGAGAAGGACTGTTCCTCGGAACATGCAACAGTAGAGGGTTCAGCTGCGTCGGCGTTCTCGTCAGCAGGTGTTTGCCCATGAACGTCGATTTATTCGAGCAGCTTATAACCAGAATCGGACGTTTGCGACTAAAAAGATGTGGATCAATCCCGGTTTTGACGATCTTCGCCGTTTACGCGCCGATATCAAACTATGACGAAGAAAAAGTCGAAGCGTTCCATATGGACTTGGAGAAGTTTTACCGAGAAGACCACACATTCAACAAGGTCATCAGTGGAGATTTCAATGCCAAGATTGGACCAAGAAGAACGTCTGAAGAACGTCACATTGGGACCCATGAATTAGAATGGAACGAACAGGGTGAGCGGCTATCTGAGTTCATCGTGGCGACCGAGACCATTCATGGTAACTCGCAAATTCCAGAAGCACCACTCTCAAGGCTGGATGTGGGAGTCTTCCAATGGAGAGTACCATAACGAAATATACCACATCATAGTAAATAGAAGGTTTTGCCTAACCGATGTCTTTGTTGTCCCAAAATTCTACACGAGGTCAGACAATCGTCTCCTTCGTGCAAGATTCTATTCCTCGCGGAAAGAAGAAAGGCACCTAAATTCAAAAAACAAGGTCCCAAAACCACAATAAACTGGGAATTATTCAACTCAACAGTCGGCTGTTGGGAAGATGCCGTTGTCGATTACGTAGACGATGAATACGATTGGCTCATTCAACATCTCAACGCTAGAGCTATGAAAGCTCAGAGTTCGAAAGTCACCAACAGACGTCTATTTCCAGAAACACTCGAGCTGATACGCCAGCGCGGAATTGCACGTGCAGCAGGCAACCGCGAACAAACGTCCGAACTTGTAAAACAAAGCAGACAGGCAATAAAAGGAGATCTTAAAGAGAGAAGAGCAGCAGTAACAGTCGAAGCTGCAGAGGCTGGGTAGACTATTTGCAAAGCCGACCGAAGCTTCGCCAATTACAAGTCCAAGATGATTGCACTCCGACACCCAGACCGAACAGTTACAGCGTTCAGAAATGCAATGGAGAAAATCGTTCACGAATACTACTGAGATCTCTTCGATAGCCACGTCCTCCTTCTCTCATGTGAAATAAGGGAGGATGGATATGTTGTACTACCAGTTCTCCTTTCCGAAATCCGACATGCCATTCCGTCGGTGAAGAATCGAACAGCACCAGGTCCGGACAGGATAAGACCAGAACACCTGAAGAACCTTTGGCCTGTCCTCGTAAACACACTGGCTCGGCTTCTCACATGTTACCTGTCTAAATGCAAGGTCCCTACTCAGTGGAAGACCAGCAAGACCGTGTTATTGTTCAAGAAGGGTGACCTACACGATATTGGCAACTATTGTCCAATCTGCTTGTTGTCTGTCGTCTATAAACTTTTCACTCGAGTCATTCTAAACAGGATTGATGGAACACTAGACGAAGGATAGCCATCTGAGCAAGCAGGGTTTCTAAAAGAGACCGCTCTATCTCACTTTCATCGATATACAGAAGGACTTTGATTCAGTTGAGATAGAAGCAGTCATGGAAGCTCTTGATTATCAAAGAGTCCCTACTCAGTACATAAAGATTCTTCGTGATCTGTACATAAATTTCACAGCCAAGATTTCACCATTCTGCAGCGATATTAGCATCGACGTCAAAAGAGGGGTTAGTCAAGGCTATACTATCTGCCAAAATTATTTACCGCCACCCTTCAGAAAGTCATGCAGACACTGGAATGAGATAATATGGGAGTGAAAATCGATGGTGGGCAGTTACGTCATCTTCGCTTTGCTGATGACATCGTCCTTTTAACACCGAACAATAGCCGAGCGGAACGTATGCTTGCCGACTTTGGTAGAGCCTTTGGAAAAATTAGTCTTCTGCTAAATC